CCGGCTGGCTCGAAGGGACTAAACGACTTTGCAGAGGGAGAACAAATGCTGTGGGATGGGAGGGAAGCTGGCATAGGTGATGGGAACACCAAGTCTGGCTTGGAAACTACTCTCATTATGCACAAAAAGAAGGCACAACAGCTCAGTGGTTGGAGGGGATCTTTGTATCACTGGTGGATAAAAAGTCTCCTGAAGTAGCATCCGCAGTGACGGTGTGATACAGGCACTGGCCCTGCTCAGGGTCAGCTTTGCCATGATCTTACATGTACCAGGACCATACGCAGCAGCTCGTGCTCGCTTGCAGCTTAGACAGGCAGAAGAGGAGCTGACAAACAGAAGAGACCTACACTGGGAATTCACATGTCGGTTTTGAAGACTTCCTCTTTGGGCAAACCGTGTTTTTCTTTTCTTTTTTCAGAGGGGCAGGGGAAGAAGAAAAGTTGACCTTGGCATACTGTAAGTGAGAGTTACAGGAGAAGGCAAACCTTCTCACTGTCAGCAGTCTGGCTCTGTGGATCTTCAGCTCTGTGCAAGGTTTGATGGAAGCCTTCCTGCCACCCCCTCCTCTTGGGCTCCCCATACACCTTGCCGAGTCCCTCCCAGCCTGTCTCTCATTTCTATCCCTCACCATTCTTTGGCTGCATGCCACTCCAGCGAGAGGCTTGCTATCAGCACCAGGAGGGATTTTAAACTTTTCAAACATCACAATTTATTTTACTTTTTCTTATCAGCAAAGCTTTGCCTAATGTTGTAGCCTGAAGGTGGGGCACTGCCCTGTTGTGTGTGGATACCATGGCCACATCCTTCCTCTGAAACAGGCTCCTACTAGAACAAGGTCTGCACTTGAGACCAAATCTATGGGTGACTGTGATGCTCCCGTTACCTGCAGCTTTGTTGAGGACCAGCTATGCACAGCCGCTTTCTCCTGCACACCTCACTGGAGTACCCCTGGCTCTCCTCCCTCCAGACAAACCCACCTTCTCCCAGACATGCTCAGATCAACACATGGCTGCGGACCCTGCTGCCCGGGTGGCACGAGGTGCTGCTCAGGTGGCACCGGTGCTGCCCGGGTGGCACGAGGTGCTGCCTGGGAGGCACGAGGTGCTGTCCGGGTGGCACGCGGTGGTGCTCGGGTGGCACATGGTGCTGGGGACACGGGCAAGCAAAGGCTGGCGGCTGTCATGGCAGCTCGCCTCCGCCCTGGTGAGTCACTATGCCCCAGTATCTGTCGGCAGGGCTGTTTCTGGTGGCCAGCCTGAAGCAGCACGAGTGCGCCCACGGGACTGTAATGAGCCACTCCCAAGGTCCGGCCGGATTTTTTTGGGTGTTGCTGAGTTTGGCCAGCACATGCCATGTATAAAGGACTTGTTTTTCCCTTGCCCAAATGATTAGCTTTGGACGGTGGCAGTTTCAGAAATGGGCCTTTCAGGGCCTTTGCTGTAAGAAAAAGAAAGGATGCTCGGGCTCCTTTAGTGCTCATTTACTGGGAATTCGTAACGTCCTTCCTCCCTGGGCATGGGATGCAAAGCAAAGTGTGGGAAGCAAAGCAAAGTGTGGGAAGCAAAGTCCTCACCCCCGGTGTCTGAGCCTGCCTTGGGAGCAGCGAGCATAGCCCCAAGGGAAGCTGTTCCCGCCATAGAAACCTTCCCAGTTTTGGCCACCGTGCAGCTCCCTGTGCCCCAGCCCTTCCCAATCAACCTGCTTGGTCTTCCCAGCTGCTGCATGGGTCACACCTCCAGTGTCCCTTCCCCAGCTGCCTCTTTGTTTTCTGCCATTTAGCCAGAAAAGCAACATACTGGTTTCCCCAAGGTCCCAACACAGGGATCAGCGCTCAGCCAAGAGCCTCCCATCCCACCCTCGCCACCACCACGCATGGGGAGGGCCTGGCAAACTGCTCTGTACTTCTACTGCAGCTTCCCTCAAACTTCCATTTGAAAACTCATTTAACCTCCAGTCAAGGAAACCCTTATTTCTGCTTCTTCCAATTGCTTCCCCCAGCTTCCTCTGTCCACTGACATTTTTGCAGGATTAGAAAAACAAGGGAGTTTTTCTTACAACTTAGGAGGAGTTAAGAAACCTCCAGGAACCAGACAGCAAGCGAAACCCTCTCGCTTGCAGGAGGCATGGGAGACAGGAGGAAGGGGAGGCAAGGGGTGCAAAGAAGCAGCAGCTACAACAAAACATGAAAAAAGAGACTTTGACTTCTCTCTCTCCCCCCACGTCGTTTTAAAGGCATGACCTAAACCTGATCTTCCTTCATGAGCACAGCGGGGAGCTCAGCATGTCTTCGAACGATCTCCAAACCTGCTGTAGGCTGCTCACACCAGGAAGCCCTGTGGAGGAGCACGGTGGTGGGCTCCGTCTCATGGTCACAGGATGATGTGAGGACAAGAAACCTGCTAAGCTCAGGAGGAGAAAAGGCACCTCTGGCTCCGTAATTTCATCAGTTAGTGTGAGCAGTGGGTGCCCTCACACATTTGTATTTCCCTTTGCAGTTAGCATGGGTCTCAGAATTCCCCCAAGAGAAAATGAAACCACACACCAGAAATCCACAGAAGCAAACCATTTGCAGAATCCCATAGCTCAGTACAAACCAGCCATCCCCCTGGGGCCCGTGCTGGCAGGGTTTTCCCACCATCCCTGTTCATTCCCTCCCCCTCACCTTCAGCCTTGATTGCTCCAAGTACACCGCTTCTCAGTTAACCACACCAGAGAAACAATCTATCCCCTCCCAGGTCATTTCTAACCCAGTTTGTTTCCCTGACCTCGTTCCCTGGGTGGTAGCACAAACAAGTGAACCTACACAACACAGGGATCAACTGCTGTGGGATGCGCTCGAGGGATGCGATATGCTTGGGATGTGATGTGTTGCTCCAGAGAGAAACCCCTGCTTAGCTGCAGCCTGAGGCTCACCTGAAAAACACTCCTCAGCTATTAGAAACCTCACAGAGCTGGTAGCAATGCTTGGTGTTCGGTGTGCCTGAACAGTTCTTTGTTGGCTGTGTATCAGCCCTCTGAAATTATAGTTATCATGAAGCCTCATACTGTTGAGACCTGCGGATATGCCTATATAGAGCTATTGGTTCACTCAGCCAAATATTATCACCTATGTCTGGCAATACTTAAACTGTAATTACTTTGGATAATCTGGTCACTTACTACTTGCATAGTGTGAAGATCTATAACAGCCTTGTACTAAGAACTAATACTAAGTAGTGAGTCTGTCCCTATATGCAGATTTCCATGCTAAATCTTGTAACTGGGTGGGGGAGAGGAGGACGGCATTAAAGAAAAAAAAAATAAAAGAATTAAAATCAGTGTAACATATTTCAAGCGATGGCAAAAGCCCCCTAGCAGCCTATTAATTCCTACGTGGATCTCATTGTTGCAGTATCTGGCCAATTGATAAGCATTTGCATAACATCCCGCCACTACCTGGTGGGGATGAACACCTTCATTTTATGGAAGGGACACTGGGGAAGAGATTTTAAACCCACATCCATTTACTTGAAAAGCTGCTTCCTACAAATCCTATGAATCTCATTAAAGACTAACAGAACCAGCAAAAGACCAGAAAATTGAACCCAGGTCTCTCAAGGCAAAGGTGAGCACCCAGACAATTAGGTCACGATTTCTTTAAGTCAGCTACACCACAAGTCTGATCCCTGAGTATCCTGATCACTACAGCCAGGATAAATATGAAGAGGGCTCCCCTGCACAGCTCTCCTCTAAGCAGCCGGTCACCTAGAGATATTGCACACAGTACTGGAGCAGGTGGGGTATTCCCAGCAGGATCTTTTGTACCAATTAACAACAGGACTGAAGTGCTGTGTGTTGTACACAACCGCTCTGCAACATCTACGCAGCTGAAGAGGAGTGTTGGGGTCTGAGAAACAGACTGTCAGAAACACTCATTGTCTGTTGCCAAAGTCCAAAATCCATCAACAATGACCTTCACCCAGCTTCCCAATCAGTGGAACGATGCATGTAGTGTACCTGGGCCACGGCAGGTGAGGTTGGCCCAAAAATGGTCACAGCCCCACGCTGTTTCCAAAAAAGAAAGAACAGAGTGACCACGCCTCAAGGCACTGAGGTGGATTTATTCATTTGACCATATCAGTATCAAACTAGAAATCATCTGTTTAAGATCACATGTTAGATAGGAGCAGCATTAAATAACAGACATATGAAAAAGAGACTGTGCTTCAGAAAAGATTCAGTCTACAACATACACAGTATGCCATTTTAACACAAATGCTTATAAAGAGTCATCCTAAGCATCAAAGAGAGTTTTATAAAAGTTTACGTTCTCATCCCATGGGATGTACAGAACTATGCAGTTTACATAGTTTTACTATCATCCAAAACATCATGTTTCAAATGTATGAGGCACAGCAAGAACAATTCCATTTCCATAGGAACATAAACATAGCCTGTCACTAATGACACGCTTTCCAAACCATAGCACTCACGGCAATTATACATGTGTACAATTTTAAAGTATTAAAAAGCAAGAGTCTGAAGCCTACCCACTGATACCAATAGGGAACATTCGCTCTACCCTTGAAAACTACCCAAGATATCCTTGCAGTAGCTGTAACATAGGAAGCAGGTAGAGTCACTGCCGTGCTTTGTCCGGGCCAGCTCGCTGTGCTGTTCCCAAAGCTAACCCACATGCCAGTGAAGGATTCGCTGCGCCCATGGAGAAGGGGAACAGCGCCCTGCTTAGCTCTGACAGCCCAGGGAAGATAAAGTTAAAACACAGCTGTAACCAAATGATGCTTTGGCTCCAGACCCAGCTGATAGAAATTACCTCGGCTTAAGGGAGGCCCTGATTTCCATTAAGAGTGACCAGAGACTGGCCAAGTCTCAAAGGCAGAACGAGACCAAACCAGTTTTTGACTGGTTAAATCAAGGACTTTTTTTAATGGAAGGTTTTCTCTAAGGACAGCTCCAACAGACTGAATCTTACAGCCCACATGCTCTTTTTTTTTTCCTGATGGCGGTATTTGCAAGCATATATTACAAATTTTATAAAAGTGCAAGGCCCAGCACAGGAAGATATCCTGGATTAAGACATGCCCAGCAGTGTTCTGTTTGCCGTCTTCTTGTTGGTCAGCCAGCAGACGCACAAATATCGTTGCTTGGGATCAGCTTATCAGAGCCCGTTAAGGGTTTAGCTTAATCATCTGTGCAATTAAACACTATTCACATTTTACAGTCTACAATGGCAATATTTTTTATGTACAAATTTGAAAATCAAGTCTTAAAGTCAAGTTTTAAGAGGTAGAGGTCCATTTCTGACGTGCCGACATACAACGTTACTGAGTCAGTCGTATTCTAAGGCTGGTGGACCCCTAACAATATTGAAGTAACCAGCTAGAGCTCCAAGATCTATGTAGAGTGATCTTTGCCTCTTTAGCAGGTCCGACTCTTCCATGCTCCCGGTACACAATGAGGAATCTAAAAAGGAAAGAGACAAAGCACGTTCTTATTGCACTAATAGCTGCATTAGTTCAGTTCCATGGTTGCAGATGTTACTGGAATAATTGGCCTAATATTTGCTTTCATCAATCTGTCGTTTAGAAAGCTTCATTTTTATGGACAATATAGCATAAACCTCATCTAAAACAAAATAAAAGATACCACATCAATCCACAACTCTGTGGCAATGAAAGGTAAGCAGTTTGCTTCTGCTTCTGAAAACAGCAAGTGTGCTCTGCTGCACAGAAAAACTACTGCAAAAAACCCTCCATGAGCTGGGACAGCTAGGCAGAGCTTCCTCATCCTCTGAGCCACAGTGCTAAAGGAGAGTTTGGTGCAAAAAAAAAATTCTGCTAGCTTTCTGCCAGTGGAGAATTCCCCTTCATTACAGGGGAATTCTCATCTAAACAGATGACATCCTCTTTGTATCACAGAGTGTTACAATACAGAACAAATCTGGGACCATCAAGCCTCAACTTTTTTTTCTCTTAAATTAAGGTCTGAAGAAACCTTTGCAATGGCAGAACTCCCCTGAATACTTGTGTAATGAGTGTCCTGGAATCTCAAGCATCTGCACTCAAGTTCCAAGTTTAGCGGTCAAATACTTTTTTCATCTTCAAAACAACTGATTCAGATGGCCTGAGCTGGTCAAAGGATTATGCACCCACAAGGCAAAATCCAGAAGGAGCAATGTCATTCTAGATGCAAAAGCTCTGCTTGATTTAACTGTTGCAACGAATTCACTTAACATTTATGCATCACAGCACCCAAAACTTTGCACACGTATCTTTTCAAACACTTATCTCAATCCAATAAACCACTTGCCTGTGGGGTCAGTTATTAAATGCTTTTTGTTAGGACGCTCCAAACATATTTTAGAAGTAGAAGAAAAGCATTTTGAAGCCAGTTAGCAGGTTGCTGGCATCAAATCTCCCTTGGTCTTGATATTATCTGAGGACACACTGAGTTTTCTACTCGTTCATCTATTATCCTTCATAAAGCACTTATTAATGCACAAGGGAACTCTGTTCTATTCTACAGTCATTTTTGCTTTTAAAACAAAGGGCTTGTACTGCAGCAACATTACAGTTCTGGTTTATACAGCGTGTGTCTTTAAGGAAGCAAAAAGTGTTGGTTGTGGTGGTGGTTGTTGGGACTTTTTTTTTTTTGTTAACAAACAAATCACTAGTATCAATAAAACATCTCTCCTACTGTGGCAAACTAAGGCGATTTTGGACAGCAGCCTACACTTCGTGAAGCAGTGCCCTGAATGACTGCCAGGGCTTTTTCATGAGCCAGCACTTCCGGAGCTGCAGGATTCAGGCTGAGTTCTTCCCTCGTTGAAGTCAAAGGGCGTTTTACATAACACTTAATGAGCTCTGGGTCTGATCTCATCTGATTGGGATTTTTACTGTCTTTTTCCAGGAGCTTTTTGAGTTTCGTTTTCTTCTAAACACTCACATCGAGTTTTGACACACAGTAAAATCTACAAGGTACAATGTAAATAAGCCTGATATCGTTACCTGTAATGTTTTCTGGCAACTGCAGCTCCTTCCTTGCGAGTAGTCTCTTCCTCTCAAACAATGCCGAGTCCAGACTCTGGCACCGCGGTTGATCTTCTGGGGGTGGGTGTAAGGCTTCGTGTTTCAGCAGGTCTGCTGCAGACAGCCTATGATTCGGATTCCTTTCTAGAGCTGCTTCCAGCAACTCTCTCATAGAAGTGCTGCAGTCTTCAGCAATGTCCTCTAAGGGGGGAGCTTGCTTGTGTATCTGTCGAAATAAAAAAAGATCATTGAAACAGTTATTCCAAAAACAATGGAAGAGGAAGTTCACAGATAACCACATGAGTGGTCTGGAAATTCCCCACTTACAACTCATCATCTCCCTAAGCTGGGCTGATCAATTAGAACAGAATATGTAACTGCACAAAATCCAGCTTTTTAAAATCAGATCCTATCATGAATTTCAACACTCAGAGTAACTCCAAACAAGGCTAAAATTCCGTGCAATGGAAATTCAACAGACTGGACAAACCAGAGAATCAAATTTACCAGGCTCCAGTTTTTATTTGCAACTTCTAAGTAAAACAGACAAGTAGAACACAGATGGGCTTGTTTAATTCAAGTTTCACACTGTTCTAACCCTGTCCTTGCAGTAAACCCAAGGCCTGTAAACTGTAACACAAACCACAGAGATGACTCCAGCTCAGCCTCTGTCTTCCCCTAAATGATCAAAACCCACTTCTTCCCTCCCTCCCCCAAAGCCAAAAGGATGATACAATCTCTCTGACAAATATTTTGAGAGTTTTTATATGACTGGAGCTTTCCCAACAATAGTAGAGGAGACTCTTCAACTGAAGCTGAGCTACAGCTTTGCTAAGGACACTTACAATATAGAGGTAGGATGGATATGCAGAACGAGGGTATCTGTTCACCCAGGGTGGGATGCCAGTTTGCATATGAATAATAGTAGCTCCCACGCTGTAGATGTCCGCTTTTGTTGTGTGGCCTCTGCAGAGGATAACTTCAGGGCTCATGTAAATCTATGAAGAATAGTAAAAAAAAAAAAACCAAACAAAAAAAGATTAATCAATAGGGAAAAACAACAAGCAGAGACCAGTTATGATATTTTGTGAAACCCCCCTCTGAAGGGATGCACCCCACAAGTACCTGCAGCCTAAAGACCAAGCACCAGCTAGGGAATAGATTTTTTGCTCTGCACATTACCACAGTCACAGAGAGTTTCTAGTCTGGCACCTGCACAAACTCATATTCCAGGTTTGCCCTTGCTGGACAGGCACAGCTCAGTGGCCAGGGGACTTTGCTGAGTTGTGAGAAGCTGAGCTTCAAGCCACAGCTCTGCTGCATTCAGCTGTTGTCCCAAAATCGTTTGTCATCACAGCTGGGTAGCAGGAACCTCATCCCTCCACAGCAAAAGGAGACGCCTGAATCGCCAGTTTGTTCTGCTGGGCGCTGCCGGCACTGCTCCATTCTGTTGCAACAACGTGGGCAGCAGGGCGACCCTGCTGCTAGCCTCTCAGCTGGGGCAGGAGTCCACTCCTCAAATCCCTGTTACATCGGACACTGCACAACTCTTCCAGGCAGAGCTGACAGATGTACACCCTCCTGTCTTCCCTACCCTTCTCCTCTTCCCCCCTTATCCACTAACCTGCATGTTGGGGCATTACCCGAAGAAATGGGATGGTGAGGAACAAGCCCGGTTTAAGGCAATGCACAAATTAAAAGCCAGGTCTCTTAAATTCTGCTGCGTGCCTTTTCCACCAGGTTATCCCCAGACCAGCTATTAAGGCAAACATCCCTCTTCCATCCTTTTTTTAAACCCAAAGTCCTAATCTCATCTAAACCAAAACACAGTTTCCATGCAAACATTTTGACTGAAACGTTTGGATTTGTGATGACCCTGAAGAAGGAGATGGTGGGAAGATGCTGCCAGCTCCAGGCAGCAGGGAGGGCAGCCG